TAAAGGACCACTATAGTGCCAGGAAAACATACTCGTTTTCCTGGCACTATAGGGTCTCTAGGTCCCCCCCACCCTTAGGGCCCCCTTCCCGCCGGGCTCTAGGGGTGGAAGGGGTTAAATTTGACCTGTTTTCCCATGGTGTGCCAATTGTATGCCTCTGAAGCTGATTGCCATGGTGTTCACTTTTTAAAATACGCATTAAAAGCAAGTGGGTCTCGAAAAATTACCGCTTCGAAAAGTGGGTCTCGGCCCATAAAAGTTTGGGAAGCCCTGCTTTAACTACATCAAGTAAGGGGGGCAGGAAGAAAATGTAATGATCCCATATACCTCTTGCTAAATGGGGGATCATAAAAATGATTCACTCAGTCCCCAAAACCACATCTTTGGTGTTGTGTGTATATAATGAACATACCGAGCACTATAACCACTACACTATGCTTTCGGTTTGCTGTGCAGGGCTCCCATCTCCACTACTTCCTATGGAGAGACGGAAACTCAAGCTTTACATTAAGAGGGAGGGCACAGGGCACTCATGGCACCATAACTACTACCGCACAATTTAGTGGTTATTTTATTGTGTGTGTTCTTCTAATGCTTAAATAATAAGAATTAATCTAAAATTGAGACACATAATATATATATATGGAATTCAGAGAGGCTACCTCAAGTTTAGTCCTTGCATATACTGCTTAAGCTATTTTACTTTGGCATCCTTGTCTTTATAAAGACTAGCCAGCGTACAGCACTCGGGATGGCTGCTGTAGGTTTTTTTTAATAGCATTTGAATAAATTGGAAAGCTTATTAAATCAGACCATTATCTATAAAATGTATGAAAAAATAACTGGGCATTATCAACTGTCAGGAACTACGCTCTATCACTTTCACTTGGACCATAAATTGCACAACTGCATGAATGCGTATATACTTTGATATGACCAAGGCAGCCATTTTGAAGATAAACTCTAACGCTAACATATTAACCTAAAGATGAATTAAACATTTTCAAAACTTCATTTTCATGTTAATAGTTTACCGTGACAGAAAATCTTAGCATTGCCAACAGTTTAATTAGAGATTTGATTCATTTATTAAAAAAAATAAGCAATTATTGCAATCTGCACCTGTGTTCTCTTGAATTAACAATAAAACAAAGTTTGCAATGTAAATGTTTATGGGGAGCAAACAGTGTTTAATGTACTGATGTTAGCATTTGTGTAAATCAATTCTTGGCTTGCAAAAGTCATTAAATTAATTTGTATAGCAAAGGATAGTAATTAAGCAGAACACATGACCTAGAATTATTCAATATTTCATATTATATCTATCAATGAACCCATTATAGCTACACTACAGCATATTTAACATACATAACCAATGTAAAAAAAACCATGAAATTCGGTCAATTTCTATCCAAGTTTATGTGTAAGGTTTTTGAAATGGTTCTAAACTCTATATGGAGTTCGATTTCTCTCATTTTCATTCTGACAAATGATTAGTGTTCTAGTGTTTTTTTTTCCTTCTTTGCAGTTCATGGTGGGCTTCTGTTCTCTATCATTTCTGTAGATAATGGTAGCCGACTGCTTTTGCCTATTCTGGCAGTTGATAGTGTGTGACTGGTAATCAATACAACTGAATATGGTTGGCTGCTTCCTCCCATCTGTATAATTGAATATGGTTGACTGCTTTTTGTAATCTTGGCAGTTGGTAAGTAACTACTTTCTCTCAATTTGACAGTTGACACTGCATACACATCAAATAATTATCTATCTATCCATCTATATCTATCTGTCTGTCTATCCATCTATCTATCCATCCATCCATCTTTCCATCTATCCATCCATCCATCTATCCATCCATCTATCCACTGACCCACCCATCTATCGCCTCAATCTAATATTTTATGTATAAACTTTTAAAATAATTTAATATTCTGAAAAATATTTTAATATTTTAATTTATTTATATATATATATATATATAAAATAATATATTCAAATATGTTCTTCATATTTTAAATGTGTTAATTTAAAAAAACAAAAAGTTTATCCAATTTGTTAATTAAAAAAAAAAAAAACTTATAAAAAAAAAAAACATTAAACCAAGGCTTATATTTGGGTTCATTCACATAGGACTTTTAAAAAGATAAAATTTTGATTAAAATTCTGGACTGACACATTGGTCTGCTAATGTAAAATTGATCTATCTATCTATCTATCTATCTATCTCCCTCTCTCTCTTTCTCTCACTATCTATCTCTATCTACCTTTTGCTAGCATAATATAAATCATAAACATGGGTACCCAAAGAGTAGACAATCCAGACATTTTGAAACTACAATATCCATGGTGATTTGCCATGCTAAAGGCTGGCAAAGCATCATGGTATTTGTAGTTTTTTTTTTATTAATATATTTTTTTGTTGAAAAAGAGTGGTGGGTTTGAACAAGTCATATTTGAATGCAACCCAGAAAAAATCCATTATAATCAACATACATGAATAATGTTATCAAATTATAAAACATTAAATCTAGCATTCAATAAATAGTATTTGTAGTGTTAATACATCTGGTGATATATCTTTTAGACACTCCTATATACCGACGTGAAGCTGAGCTTGTCATTTTACCTGTTGCATTTCGCTTTAAAACATTATTAAGCTAGTTCTTCAGTACACATTTGTGATGATTATATTAAAATTATTAGATTGTTCATAACTTAAATATGTGATTCTCCTTATAAGGATAACTGTATAAACTTTTACTTTTTTTGTGCCTCTTGTACTTTTTTTTGTTGTTAGTTTTTATATATATCTTCCTGTTAAAGAACTCTGCTTCTATTCCTTTTTATTCATTCTTATTATTCAACTATTGAATATATTTTGCAAAGTGCTGTCATTCTGCCAATATTTTATCTTCTATGGTTATTGTAAAGTTTGATATAATTTTTCATGCTTAAAACACTGAATTTCTAAATTGTGTTATAAAACATTTTGGCGAGCTTGATTCTTCTTAAATTATCCCTATGCTGTCATAGTTTATAGATATTGATATACTGTGCGTTCGATGTCTGTGTTTAATATTAAATATGTGGGTAAGATCAAAACTGCACCTATAATATTGTAGCATAAAAATAAATAATTCTATGAGAATATTAAATGTCCCTCAGTATTTTTACATTTTGTTTGGTTAATCCAAAGCACAAATCACATCTGTAAAGGGAGCTTTCCAAAATTTAATACCGCAAATCTCAAGCTTGTTTTATTATTATTTTTTTTGCAACAATTCCAAGCTCTTTTTTTTTGTCAGGCACATATGCAATCTAACTGTCCTTGTCAATAACTAACATCCGACTATAAAATTATTAGCACTTTGATATTTCAACCTTGCTGTAATTTGTACAGACAGATTGAAAAGAGCACTTCAGATCGTTTAAATTTAAGTATTGTTCCAGATGTATTGTTTATCACATAATGTACCTTTCAGAGCCATGACTTCTATCCCTGACATTGTCAGCAATTTGTAAAGAGAAATGTTTCAAGTCATTAGCGAAAGGACAGTTAAAGCACCATAGCTCATGTTATGAAAATTGAAATAATACTGTCATGAAGCGGTACCTTTAGTAAAATGTTAAAGGTTTTATGAGTTTGCTGATTGTTTTTCATCAATATATTTAATTCTGCATCGTTACAATTGTGTCACTGTTTCTACTGGCCAATGTTGGTGGCAGTACTGCTTTAATCTATTTTTTGTATTTTTCCAAATTGATTTTTTTAATACACTCCTAAAAATATTATTTATTACCCCATCACTGCTGAATAAAGTGATGGGGTAATAACTGGTCATGGCTAGACCACGTCTGTCCAACCTGCAGTCAGGAACCTATAGTAATGGGGCCCAGTTGCCGTCCAGTATGAAGTCATCCCGGCATCGGCAGCACAGACATCCCACCACAGCAGCAACCTCTGGACACCAGGGAGAGGATCTACTCCAGCCCTCTTAGAGCAAGGTAGGGAGGCTGGGTGGACCTTTTAATTACTCTTAATTACTTAGAGGAATATCCTACCCCCAAATGTGCTTTTTTGATTATTTGGAATTACATAAAACAAATATTCGCTCAATTATCACATGATCTAATTTTTTAATTGTGTTATTTCTTTATATATAATTTGTCCCTATACAGTGTAATATTGTTTACACATTGTTAATATTTTTTTTTTTATTAACATTCTTATACCTATCATACAGCAGGTTCAATATTATAAAATATTTTTTTTTTTTTGCCAAACAGTCAATAACATACAACATTTCTACTAACAAATGTTACTGATAAAATGTTTCTTTGCCTAAAAAAAATTAATTACCAATGCATAGATTGCTGCATGATTACAAACATCACAAATATTGAGTCATCTGAATGCGTAAGTACAGCAAAAGTTGAACTTAACGGCCTGTGTTAACTTAATCAATCATGTAACATTTTGAACATTAGTAGAGCACCATACTACATCCTGGTGAAAACATTTAAAGGGAAACTAAACATTTATCAGAATGTTTGTCTGCCAAGAATTCAAAGTAGCCACAAATACAGATTAAATAAAACATGAATGATTGGTTAGCCTCACATAAAGAGACTCAGTATGGCTGGTTCAACTGCCTATAGTAGTGAGTGAAAATATAGTGTTAATGAAGCTCTCTCACTTCTGAGTAGGCCATAAAGATATAATCTTCATTGAACACTCATACTGACTGTGTTGGGATTTCACTCAATTACAACACAACCCACTCCCTCTAGAATGTAAGCTCATTGAGCAGGGCCCTCCACCTCTCTGTTCCTGTACGTCTAGTTGTCTGGTTACAATTACATGTCTGTTAGTCCAGCCATTGTACAGCGCTACGGAACCTGATGGTGCTATATAAATAATAAAATAATAATAATAATATCGTAAGACTATTTTGTCTTACAGACAAGCCTGAGTTTAAAGGGACACTATACCCAGACCACCCAGACACTGCAATAATTACATTGCAGGTCTAAGACCACCTCTAGAGACACTTCCTGGTTGCTAACAGACTCTGCATGAGGACATCCAGCGTCAATTAACTCCCCATAGGAACGCAATGAAGCAATGCTTTCCTATGCATGTGCCTTAGCCCCTCCCCATCAGATGACATCAGAAGAGGCGTAGCGCAGATCTCGGCGCTGGAATCAGGTAAGTGACTAAAGGGTATTTTAACCATTTATGAGCTGGGGGGCACAAGGGGTCTCTATAGTGTTAGGTGAACAGATTTGTGTTCCTAATACTATAGAATCCTTTTAACAAAAGTTCCCAGAAGACAAAGCTTTGCCATCCACATTTGTCAACTCCCAGCAGCCCTTGTAAGCAATGGCTGTGGCAAACATTCATAGTTTTGCTCATTGCGAAACGTGATCTATGGAGGGTCCTGATGTCTTGTTGGATCCTTAGTAGACCATTGTGTTGTACTCTTAAACATACACGACAGGGCTGATACAGCTTCTGGCAGATACAAAGCCAAGAGCTTAAGATGGACTCTAGTAAAAAAAAAAAATGGCAGCACCTCCGAGGGTCCATTTCAGGTAAGTAGAACTACATTCCACAGCACCCCACAGCCACTGCAACCTAAACAGATATGCTACCTTCAGGGGGTTCTGCGAAATGTAACTTTCACTGGCGTAATAAGAGATAGCAAAATGTTGCGGTGTATTTGTGATACCCTCACTTGTGTACTTGTGTGAGAGATATGTTGTCCACCACCTTCCATCTTTAGCATTTAATGAAAACAGCATATGATAGCACGTCACCTCCAGATTCACTATCACTCGGTACAGTCTTGCAATTTATATAATGCTTTTGAAAAGTCCATTTGTTCAAAATTTGCATTTGATACCAATTACTGCAGCAACAGCCCTTTGTGCTTTATCTCGTATGACACTATTCACTAAACATGATGGTCATTTATCTGAGCATTAATGCTGCTCATATATCTTACTGATGTGAAATAATGACCATGGTATTTTTATTTACCCGTAAAACAAGTAAATCTATAGATGGAACAATACTCATATGGTTGTTGTTTTTCTGTCTTTTTTATCTTAACAGTGATGTTGTTTTTCTTTCAAAATTCTAGGTATGCAGTTGTATAAGATGGATTGTGTATTTTACTCAATTTTCCAGGCAAACATTATGTGCTATCTGAACAGAATGTTCTTCTATAACAATACAGTTCCACTGACAATAAGTTATAATTACATAAAAACTATTGTACTAGTGTCAGGTGTTTAGAGGATTGTTATTCCTAGAAAATATCAATACCTTTGAGCAAAATGGACAGTAAAACCCTTGGGATTTATAAGGAGCTAGTGTTTTTACAATGTATAATGTCCCATAGGAATATCTGACAATAGCAAAACGCGAGAAAGAAGCAATATTTTTGTTTTTCTAAGAAGTTAGTTTATATTACATAGAGCTTTTTCTGTACATGGAGTTTTTGTAATATTATAAAGGTGTTAACCACTTCACATGCATAGCTGGATTGGCAAACAAACCCTGTAATGTTTGTGGTACACAATTAGCCAATAATTAAATAAAACAATCAACATAATTATTATTATTCTCTATGCATAGGTGTTTGGTTTTGGACTGCAAAGCAACATGCTACGAAATAGGATAAAGGGTCACGCTAAGCACTGTAACTAAATGTTTAATTTTGGAAATAAATACCTTTTTATTGTGTGTAGGGCCGCCTCCATGGGCTGTCAATCAGCCAGCTGGAATTCTCTCTTCCTGGGAGGCAATATTGTTTTTTGTTCAACTTTTGCATCTGGTATTAGCACATACAGCATGCTAACCTAAGAAGTCTTCTGCAGGCTTCCCGTGTTTGAGTGACTTACACACAGTGTCAAAGTTCCTGCCAAGAACTGAGGTGAGATTTAAAGTAACACTGTAACACTGACAATATCTCTGCTTACACTGTTTATATGCTTCTTAGTGGTTTTTTATGCATTATTCTGTGTAAAATCCCTTTAATAAACATATATATCATTATATTTATTTTTAACATTAGATTGTACCTTAATCTGTTTAGATAAAAAAAAAATGTAAAATAGGATTTATTTTAAACTTTTTTTGTATTTAAACAAACATTTTTTTTAAAATACATAAAACGCACATTTAGTCAGAGCCAAAACTGCAGCTGTTCCCCCTCCGATGATGTCATCAGTTATCATAACTCTTGTCCAATCTACTGCCTTACATGAAAGCATTCTGGATACAGAGCACATGTGTAGCAACTGTTCCACTCTGCCAATCAAATGCTTCTTACTGAGAAACACTGAATTCAATGCTATTCTGTGAGAAGCATTGGACACATTTGGTGTCTTGACATTGTGTTCGATGACACCAAACCTGAAGCTCTTTGATTTTCAGAGGTCTTCAATGAGGAAGCCAATGTAGTGGCTGTCAATCTTACAACCACTAGAGGCGTGTTCTCTGACAAACCTAAACACTGTGTTTTACATTGTTAGATAAAAAGGGACAGCATCTATGTGCCCAAACAACTTCATGACAATGAAGTGGTTTTTCGTGCTTGAAGTGTTTCTTCAATTCCCTAACTCCCTGGTAATGGAAAAAAACCATACATTAATTCCTGGTTTTGACCTCTGACCTTCATTTTTTAAGACAATACCTGTTTCACCTGGACTACTACACCTATCATTCCCATCAACCTTCTGTCTGAGGCAGGTGGGAGTTAACATGCGCCTTTGAGGCAATGGAATAGCGAGAAAAACTTGCTAAAAAAAATGTGAAGTATTTATCTTCCAATCAACCTCATTAATGGTTGGCTGAGCCTGCTGTATCTGTGAACTACAAGATGGCTTCATGGTAACATCAACACTGTCCTACACTGTATGGTTGTACACTGGCCATCGTCTTCTGTTCTGTTGTTTGTTTTCATTTGTTTGAATTATTTTCTATGATGCAAGCTGGTCACACATGTATAAATGACAGAGGTATCAAGGCATGTAAAACTTTGATGCAAATGAGAATGTACTGTAAATTTAGCTGTTAATTACTTGCATTCGGAATGCATGTCAAGTGTGTCAAGAATGCTTTTCCTTTATATAACAGCTGCGATACACTTAAAGTGATAAGACAATGTGCCATTAACTCAAGACGATGGGTGAACGGAGGCTTTCAGTTTATATCGCAGTTAATCTCCTTCTAGGAAGCAGCCTATCAAAATCTTTTAGCCAGTGAAACGTCTATCCTTTTTAACAGCCCTAGGCAAACTCTAAATTCTACACATGTAATCTGACTTTATATTGCATAATGCATGACTACTTAACACTGCAAACTCAGTGATGCGTTCAACCTCATAAGAGCCTTTTGACACATTGGGCCTCTTGTCCTGTTGCATATGGCATTCTTAGATGTTTGAAAAAGTTAAATATTTTACATACTAAAAAAAATTGGTTATGAATTAGGAAGTTTTCATTTTTTTCCCTTTGGGAACTACATCTTCAGCATGGCTTGCATTTTTAAGAAGAGTCTTGTAGACAGATAAACGGAAATTAATCTCTCATTCGTTTGAAATTTTCTCACTGGCATAACATCATGCGATAAAGGGATTTCACTTGGACATCAGCAATGGAACCTGTAAGATGCTTAAAATACATCTAACATTATTATTAACTCAGGAAGAGAATCCGTAAAAGCACAATAAATGAAAACTTGACATGAAATAGTTTCACCTTTAATGGCACAAGAAATCTAAACTTTGACATGTTTTAGATAGAAGATTCCAAGATATTAAAACAGCTTTGAAGGTACGTTGATATTCATTTTAAAATCTTGTGCTCTGTTAACATATTCTGTAATCCTCAATTAAATTATAAAAAGCATTATGGATGGGAGAGGATTTACCTTGGGGCTAATGTTTAATTTCAAAAAGTGTGATAGATTTATTTTTATGGAAAAAAAATGTTCTTTGAAGATTATTTAAGATTATTTTAGGATTATAAATAGGCGCAATGTAAAACATGGAGATTTGAGGGAACCCTCTACGTTCCACTCCTTAGTAAATCTCAGTTGAATGAATAGTGTTAACATTTTCATTTACCCACTCGATGAGTGGGAATACAAGGGAGTTCTATAGACCCTCGTTTTCAACAGTGCTGATTATACTAGGGCATTCAACTGCTAATTTTTTTCAGAATATTAAGCAGGTTTGGAGCCTAAAACCTCCTGGGGCCATAAAGTCACCGTGACAGTTCACATCTATAGACTCTCTGCATGGTCTGCCCTAAGTGCACCTAGCCAATTAGGCTATCGGTCAACCTGGCGTGCATTTAGAGCAAGCTGACCAACAATTTTGGGCATCATCAATGATGCTCTTCACTAATAGGCAAGTATTAAAGATCGACAAACTTGAACTAACTCATGCTGATTAGTTGTCACATGGCTAACCTAAACCTAATTTATTAATTCAATGTTACCAACTGGGTACAGTGTACTAGTGGGTACAGTTAGCCTTCAATTCTGTGACTTGAATAACTCAACTAGCTAATTTGCCAAGTTAGCTAAAAGTTGAAACTTAACCAACAATCAGCTTGATATAGTATGTGTTTAATAACATGACTTCGACTGAACTATGTTGCAAAAGCTATCCGTTTGAGACATCAAACTGATGTACATAGTCATGTTTAACATCAGTATGTGACCTGTGCAACAGGTATAATCGGAATCAATGTTATGTTCATGGGTCAACTAGAATGACAGATTGTCACGGAACACTTCAAGTGCCAGGACACCTACAGTGTATTGTAGTGCTTATGGTGCCAGAATCCTCCTGGTGCTCTCCCAATGTATGTCATCATGGTTTGACTTTTAACTTGGGTTCTCAAACTACAGTATTTAGTTGGGCATTAGGACGAAGCATTGCAAGTACTAAAGATCTGTGGTTAATTAAATGTTATGCTCCATCTTGTAGACAATGTTGCACACATATCTATTACACAAACTCACACATATTTGTTTCACTAACATTTTAGATAAAATACATTTTAACTAGAATAATAATTAACTTCGAACATATCTAGTGTTTGTGCTAGTATAGTATCTAGTATAACTCTGCTGAAGGAGACCAAGATACAGTCCAATAATTGTAGCTGTTCTGGGTAGCTGATAATGCAT